TCCATGGGAGTTTTAGAAAAACTAAAATACTTGAATATCGCTTCTCCGATCATGCCTGTACTGATAAAAGATGGATCCGAATTTGCGGTGATTTCAGATATACGGTTAATGCAAATATTTTGATTGATAAATATTATATATCCAGAATTAGTGAATTATTAGCCACACTAGCTAATGGATCCAAATGTACGGTATTAGATTTATCAGAAGCGTATTTTAAAATAGCGCTAGATGAGGAGGCAAAAAAGTTGTTAGTGATCAACACGCCTAGTGGATTGTATCGCTTCACACGATTTCCATTTGGGGTGCCCTCAGCGTCATTTTTCAACTCGCAATGGATTCGTTATTGATTTAAAAAAATGTATTTTTTTTTAAGAAAAGATTGAATTTTTAGGTCATACCATTAGCAAAGAGTTCACAACAACAAATAAGAATGTCAATGCAATTTTTAACGTTACCTAAAAACGTTAAAGAATTACAAGCTTTTATCTGTATAATTAATTATAATCAAAAATTTATAAACGATTTGTCAACTATTACCCCTCCTTTATATAGGATTTTAAGGAAAAATGTGCCATGGAAATGGACCAATAATGAAACAAAAGTAATTAATAAATTTACAAAATTAATATCAGAACCAATTTTAACATATTATAATCCGGAAAAACCGATAATTCTAGCTACTGATGCGTTTCAACATGGAATGGGATCAGTTCTATCTCATATCATTAACAACTAGGAAAACCGATTGGATCCACTTCTCGAACATTAAATACTGTCGAACGAAATTACAGTCAAATAGAGCGGGAGGCTTTAGCAATCATATTTGGATGATTAAATTTAAGCAATATTTAATTGGCAAACATTACTATTATCACTGATCATAAACCACTTATATCGTTACTTAATCCACATAAAAGATTAACAGATATGTTATCAAGATTAGTAAGATAGTCATTAATACTAGAAAATTATGATGGACGGAAAAAAATAGTAATGATGATGTACTCTCCCGGTTTCCAATTGACGGTAAACCATCTGCTTAGGTAGAGTTAAATATTAATTTAATAGTATCGAATGCTCCACAATTTATTATAGCGTTAGATATAAAATCACCTACAAGAAATGACCCGGTATATCAAAGGTTTCACGTTACATTGCAACTGGGTGGCCGAGGATAATAGAGAAAATCTAAAACCGTTTTTCCAGCAGCGAAATGAACTCACGATGGAGCAGAGTGTATATTATGGAGATTATGAACCATAATTCCCCACAAAATTACAAGTAAATATTTTGTCTTTTTTACATATGGGGCATCAAGCTTATACTAAAACAAAAATATTGGTACAAGAGAACGTTTGGTGGCCGAATATTAACGAAGTTATCGAATTACACTGTAAATTGTAAATTATGTCAAACATATAAACTTCATTTTTTTCCGGACCAATTAACGGAGATATATGTCTAGTAATAATAGATAGTTTTAGTAAATGACCTGAAATACAAAAAACTGTCGACAAATAATTTTACTGAAGTTAGAAAAATATTTTTAAGACTTTTTGCTATTTTCAGTTACCCCAATACGATTGTTACGGATATTGGGAGGAAGGAGCAGAAGGAGAAACTAGACAAACTATACCACTAATAAATGAAATTGATCCTATACAAAATTCGATAAAAAAAAGACATGGATCCTAAAAAAACTCGATAACCAAAGATATTGATCCTATACAAGACTCGATAATCAAAGACATCATCAAAAACGAAAAGATTGAAATCGACAGAAAGTACCGATCAACCCGCAGTAGAGAACGAAAGTACAAGTAGCCGTTTTAAGATTGATTTGTAAAAGATATATAAACTGAAGTACAAAATTATAATAGTAATTAATATATAATAAATTAGTTCACTAATAATAAAATATCACAATGGAAAAATTTTTTAAAGGCTTATTAGGACTTGAAAATATTTTAAAAGAAATACCTTCACGCCAAAGTTTTTTCTTTTAAAAAAATATTTATTTTATTTTTTTACATATTTTTAGATCTTCATCCTTTTTTTAAAAATAATGAAATAATTAATCGTTTTTATGAATTCTTTAAAAGTTTATTAGAAAATATTTTAAATATTAAATTGGAACTGGGGCTTCTCACAATTACCCTCGAAAATGGGTGGTTTAGATTTATATTTAAATCTTATATCTCTTTCTTCATTTTGGGCATCGCGTTTGATGAACAACGCCATGATATCTTCTTTTATCAATTTTAAAGATAACCTTATAAACTCGGCCTTGACAGCTTGGATATCTTTATCTCTAACTCGTTTTACCCACAGTTTTAACACATCAATCAATTTTTGAACCTTTAATTGAAATTTTTTAAAATGCTCTCATCAAACCCCTCTGTAGAATACATTCAACTATTACAAATTGCTTACTGTCCTAGTGGTTATGAATGGCTGGAAGCATTACCAAGTCGTAACCTAGGTTTATCAGATGAACAATTAAGAGTTGTCATAGGCCATCGAATTGGATGTAACATATTTCAACCACATACATGCATAAAATGTAAAATATTAGTTGAATCTAAAGGGAGACATTGTCGTATTTGTATATATAGTCAAGGCAGACATGCAGCAATTAATTCAATTATTAGACATTCACACGAGGGCCCGAATACCAAACATCCTGGAGCCTGCTAATTTTTCATTAGATGATGGCCTTAGACCTGATGGCTTAACTTCTGTGCCTTGGTCTTTAGGTAAATCCTTAATTTGGGACTTCACATGCGTCTCTTCTTTTCCAAAAAATTAAATTCTTAAATATTCAAAATTAACATTTTTTTTTACTAATCGTTATCTCTTCCCTTGTCATGCGGAACTTTAACATTTTTAAAAAACATAGGCCACAAAATAAGAGCCCTTACATCAGAACCCAAAGAATTTTATTTTTTAAAACAAAATATACAAATTACCATTTTAAAATATAATTATTCATGTTTTTTGGAAACTTGTAGTCGCACCTCCTTTTTTATATAATGAGTATTTTATATTTTTTGAAGAATTATGTGTATCATATCATATATTAGGAATTTAATAAAGATAATTAGACTTTTATACATAATTTTAAAAAAAAAGGGTTTTTTATATTTTTGAATGATAATAATTTTTATTTAATTTTAATAAATTTTAAAACGAGCAAACGTGTATTTTATTGTGTATCAAATAAATTCAACAATTTTTTAAAATTTATATTGTTTATTTATAAAAAAAATTTCCGGTCATAGTTTACTTTATTTGAATAGCAGCTGATAGATAAAATTAATTAATTTTTATTATAAGTATCTGATTCTGAATAATAAATAAGAATTATGACTTGTTCAAGAATTTTTAATGTCTTTTTATCCATTTTAAACCTGATCATAGAATTTAATGACTGCTCAATTTAAATAATATTAGAGAAAAATGTGTTTTAGCGTAACAATATAGATACAATTAATATTTTATGTACCTATTGATTTGTCCCCCAGTATTATTAAAATAATTTCATTCTATTAAAAATATAAGAAATCTTGGACGAAAACACTATGTCCCATTTAAAAAATATATATATCCTAAGCATTTATAAAATTTTGCCTACCTTAGAATTTATAAGTTTATCACCTCAATACTTGGCGGTATTGGATTTACTTGGGCAAAATAAATTTGTTTTATTTTTTTCTGGGAAAGCAAGTATAACACTAAAAATAAAATTTTATTATCTTTTAAAATCTATATAAACTAAGCATTATTGCCAATTTATTTATCGGATACATCCGATATTTATGCATAGTTTCTACGATTTGGAACCTATCTATAATATATCCTTCAATATCTTATTCAAGTCTAACATCTAAATTTATTATAAATAAACGATAGAAATGTTATATTATTTCATAACACAAATTTTTTTACCTTATAAAATTTAAAAAAACAACAACATGTAAGATGATAAAGCGGGGCCTGGCTCAATTTACATTATTCAAATAAAAAATTTAAGCAGAGAATTAATTTAATCATCTTGGCTGAGGAAGAAATAGAACATTTAGAGAAAAATCCCTTGAATTTTATAAATTTATTTTAAATTCAAGGCCCCTTTATTCATAGATTCTCCCACTTAAAGAAAACATTTTACAGTGAAAGGATATTTTAATTATCCATATTGATAAATTGTGTTGGGAATATTCTAACCCCTAAAGACCTAGACCCGTCCACTTGGGATAATAATTAAGTTTACAATCAAAATATAATAAAATTGCCTTTTTTTGACACCCATATCAATATTTTGAGTTGCCAAAAATATTCCTGACCCCTCAAAACCGAGATCCAATATAATTAAATTACCTTTTATTTAACCCCCATATCAATATTTTGCGTTGTTAAAAATATTCCACTCCTCAAGGCCTAGAATCGCCCACTTAGAATAATAACTGATTACAATCAAAATATAATTAAATTACTTTTTATTTGACTCCCATATCAATATTTTGCGTTGTTAAAAATATTCCTGACACCTCAAGACCTTGATCCGCCCAAGAATAATAATTATGATTACAGTCAAGACTCTAGATATAATTAAAACACTTTTTATTTGATATCCGTTTTATTATTTTATGTTGATAAAATTATTCCTGACCCCCCAAGTTCTAGATTAGACCGTCGAAAGTGAACGCTCGTCTTCCTAATGAATAGATCTTTTGATTAGCTATCGATTATACCTATATTGAACATATACTTTCCTAAGTTCAACAAAAAACGATTAAAAATAAATGGGTTTTTGCTCCGGGTCTGTGCTCTGGGTTCGTTTTCAAATCTGGTCTAATCGATTTTTAGACCCAAGCCCCCGGTCTGGGTTTTATACATCTAACCAATTAACAACACTGCTACTCCTATAATTATTGCACTTCCTTTGGATGAGAGATTTTTTTATTATAGCGAGAAAATTAAATTATTATATACTATAGATTTTATGGCTCAGGAAAGGAATGCTAGATCCTATGCAACGGACGAAAGATTTTGCATTGATAATGGAGCTATGATAGCTTACACTGGCAGTCTAATGCACTCTTCAGGTATCTCCACACTCATCGAAGAATCATATATAACTCAAAAATATAGGACGGATGATGTCCTCGTCACTTGGCGATAAATAATTTGAATTATATCTAATATATTAGAAATGTTTGGCCAATAAAAAATTGAAATGGGTTATATTTCAAATGATAATTAAAATTGATTTTAGTAATTTCATATAAAATTTTGATTACATAATTATTCAGTTTTTTTAAATATTTTTTTTATGCAGAGGTACCATTTGCACGGCCTGGCCCAGCCCGGATTTTTTTCGACTCGGTTCGGGTTTTATATTTTTAGGCCTGTCCTAGATTTTTTTTAAAAGTATTTTATTTATTTTTAATATATATGGCTAATAATAACGATTTAAAATATTTGGTTTTAAAATATGCGACCCGGCCTTGGGTATTTTTTTAAGAAATATTTTAGGCCTACCCCGTGTATATTTAAAATATTTGGTTTTAAAATATGCGGCCTAAGCCTGCCCCGGGGTATATTTAAAATATTTGGTTTTAGAATATGCGGCACGGCCTGGGTATCTTTTTAAAATAGTTTTTAGGCCTGCCCCAGGTATATTTAAAAAAATTAAAATATGGACCCTTGCAGTTTTCTGGTTTTATAAAACGCATAATGTTAACTCTGCACCTTGTTATAAAAAGTATATACTCTGATTTCGAAAATATTACCTAAATCTATTTATTATTTTTACTGCCTTAATGCTCATTCTCTTATGTGCACCATCTTTGACTAGTTTTAACATCGCAGTATTTTTCATTTCTTCACCGGTTATCCTCCACCTCCTTATCAACGTTTCTACCTTTTCCTTGATTTACCCCTCTGGTTTTCTTTTAATATGACCAAGCACCTTGATCTTTTCATCAGTTTCTCTTTTATATCCGAAATACCAAGATTCCTAATAAGGTTCTTTTTCAATTTGCTAAGCATCCATCTCAGAATTCTCATTTGTGTTTTCCATTACCTTTTCCTCACTCCTTATAGCTCGCATTTGATTTATATAAAACGGCAATCTCAAAATTTTATATATATTAACATCGGGCCTAATTTTTCAAGCCCAGTCTGGCTCAAAAGGTTTTTAAAAACATTTGTCCTACCTAACCCGATCCTGAACGAATTTTTTTATTTGTCCCGAAAAGCCCGACCGAAAATAAAAATTATTTGTCGACCCCGGCCGAATTTATTTAAATATAGTAAAATTTAATATTTTTTTATTGTGAAAAAATATTATATGAATAAAAAATATTAGCGCCTTGTTTCTTGCAGGAAGAATTTTAAAATATATCAATTTATATGACAAAATGTAATGATATCATATTTAAAAATTTAACCCGGCCCAGTCCCAACCTAAATTATTAAAAAATAGACCCATAATATATACTGTGGTTCATGAGAGATCGTGTTCCTACAAAACATAACCTGTCTCCCTTTATTTTACAGAAGAGACGACCGTCATCCTTTTCCTTAGTCATAATCCATCCTATCTCTCTTTTCCTAAATACCTGGCCCTTGCACTAGTTGTCTGTCCCGGCACTTTAAATATTTTGTTTAATATTTTTCTACATGTTTTCCATTAAATTTGCTTGGGATGCAATACATTATTAAACGCTTTATTAAAATAGGATGAAATATCTTATTAAAAGAAATGGGCAAAAAATAATTATAAAAAAAAATAAATTCATTCAGGATATATATAATTATATACTTTTAAAAGGAAAATGAAATCGTTCCATTTATTATTTAGGTGTTATTTATGATTGGGCATAAATTACATTTAGCTTGCACTATATTATTTATTATGCTGGTGTTTTTTAAAAATTTACCATCTAAAATAGTTAGATTACATTTATTAGAAGATGTTGATGTTGTAATAGATTCCTTTTATAAATTATTAAGTATAAAAGCTTAATAAAAATAACTCAGTCGAATCTATATTTTCTTCGTTTTTTCCACATAAAAATATATATTATAAATATAATAGCTTAATAAAAAAAAACTCAGCCGAACTGGAGCCATTATCAATCGGATGAGATATTAATTTTATCGCTAACACTGGTCAAAAATTAAAATTTATAAATAGAAAAAGTATTAGTATTCGTATGAAATTAAAGAGGTAATAAATACAAAAAAATATTTCGTTACTGAGCAACCGTGGATCTGGTTCATTTTTTCGACCAAAAACCAGGATCATGGTCATATACAACCAACTATTTAACAACATAAACATTTTTTTCAACACCTCAATTAATCACTCATCAAACATTGATTGAATTTTTTTTAAATGAAAATCATGATTTTACTTAAATTTTCTTAATTATTCATAAAGTTTAACACTAAACTAAAAAAATACATATATATAATAAAATTCTAAATTATGTATATACCAAGGTCATTTTTGCATTCCAGTTGTGTTCCGGTTAATAAAATTGTTCTTTTCCTGCTCTGTTCCAGCTTTTGGAACGTTCCTAGAAAAGTGGTGGAGTATCAAAAAACAACGTTCAACACTTACCTGGCTATGGATGATTTTTTATTATTATTAAAAATAAAATTGTCTATTTAAAATTTTATTTAATAAGAAAAAAATTAATTTTATAGAAAAAAAAGGTTAAATAAATTTTTTTAAATTTGATAAAAATGTTTCCCCTATTTAATTTTTTAATCAACTACTTGTTTGCTAATTATTATTACTTTTAGTATTGTATAGTTAATATGATTAATGATTATTTATTATTATTAAAAAAAATAATAACTTAATATATGCAACTGTTGGATGGGTTAAAAATTGTAATTTTTTTAATTATAGAAATAGAGGAATTTATATATTTTTAGGAAGGTTCCGGAATACACTGTAATAAATTATATTTATTATTTAAATGTGATAATTTTAAAAATAATAAAATGATATATTTTAATCCGTGATAATTTTCTAAATATCTAATAATTAATCGTTTTATTAAGATGGCGACAGATGGCGATTCATTAAATGGAAAAAATAATTCCTTAAATAGAATTAAGAAAATTTGGCGGATAAAAGAAAATTGGCGGACTTTTCTACGATTAAATTCGATGGCGAAAGTTCGATTTATAGATATTTTTCTTAATGAGAAGCAGAGACCTTCATGGGCCTTAATTTTTTGACCAAGCCCGGCCCAGCCCCGCAGTAAAAAATATTTTTTGGCCCAGGCCTGCCTATATTTAATGTAAAAAAAATTCCCAAGCCCCATAATAAGTTTCATAAAAATTTCCCAAGCCCATACGCAAAAATTTAATTTTTTTTTATAATGAAAATTAACAATATTTAAATATATTTAGGCAATCATTTTGTTTACAATACTGAAATTTATTATTATTAGAAGAAAAAAAGGCAATATTTCATTAAATTAGCAACTGTTTTAAATAATCTAAATTTAATGATTTTAAGCCCAAGCCCATTAAAAAAAATTTTAAAACCCTAGACCCATGGGCCGGGTATGGGCATGCGGGCCAGTCCGGCCCATAAAGGTCTCTGATGAGAAGCCAGTTTTCGGTTAAAAACGTAAGCCCTACTGAATGTCAATATAAAGATATTTTTAACTTTTTTGGCAATAAAAATATTGAGTTGGCCTATCGTTCTTGTTATCCTGACTCGATTAAACTTTATTTTTTAAGAATGAAGTCAATATGTTTTCAATTATTTAAACCGACGTCAAGAACTTTTGCTTTTTGATTTGATTTCATTAGACTACGGAGAACAACTGAAACCATAACTGAATTTGCAGATATAATTATAACAATTGGCAAGCGTTGTCAATATCTTAATGATATTGACGAGCGTTTACGTGATCAGTTTATGGTTGGCATGGAAATGCCGGGTTTGGAAAGAGATCTTAGGGCTCTATATCCCAACTGTTTTGATAGAGATAATAATGTATTGACTCCAATTTATTCTTGATCTGGCAATCGCTTCTGAGCGAGCAGACAAAGAAATGGCAAATAAAAAAATTATGTCGCTTGTATATAAGATAGATTATAACAAAAGAAATGATAATAATAATTATAAACATCGATTTAAAACGAATACGTTTTGTAAAGGCTATAATAAAGCCAATACATTTGATAAAGAAAATAATAAATACAAATATATTAATAATACTCTTGATAAAAATTATAATAAACTTAAATGTGGGTTTATTCATAACCGAGAAGTGAGATGTCCAGTTACAAATTAGTCATGTAACAAATGTAAAATAATTGTTCATTTTGCAGTTTGTTGTAAATCAAATAATCTAAATTATATAATAGTGTCATCAAGTAATAATATTCATAATATATGGAAGATTCAACAAAATCAAGCACAACTAACTGAAGAGATAAATGGGGTAGATATCGAATTTGATTTTGACACTGGTGAAAAGGCCATTGATCGGAATTGATATATGGACAATTATTGGACGACCAAAAATTAGGCCAACCAGTCCATTAACTGCATATGGTGATCATCCGTTAGACGTTAAGGGCGAGACTCAAGTCAATGTTAGGATTGGTTCACGGACAAAGACCCTACCCGTGGTAATAATGAACACAGCTGAGGTGCCTCTTTTCGGATTACCTACAATGAAGCAGAACTGGCACCCACACATAATTGGTTTGTCTCAAATTTTTAATAAAACGACTAATTATTAGCTAGTTCGAAAATTACCATGGATAACATTTTTCGTTTTATTATTTTTAAAATTATCACATCATATTTTTAATTAAATTAGTATGCTTTATATATATAATATATTACATTTAAATAATAAATACAATTTATTACATTTCCTCAAACATTTTTTAAGTTAGATTTCCTCAATAATCCTCTTTGTAGGTTTACGGTTTCTTAATGAACAACGTAATGCAGTATTTGTAGCTGCTTCATTTACTAGCACAACTATTTCTGTAACTTCCGATCAACTTTCATAAGTCGGAATTATTGAACGATCTCTTAGCTGATTTGCCTGTTTTCGCAATGTTCTTTCAGGGGTTTCAACAATATAAGAATGTAACCCTGTCCTTTCTTTAATCACACACTTTCTTTAACCTTCGGTGTTCTCGTTGTTTAACCACACAGGTTGTGAAATCGAATTCTCACCCTT